AGGAGAGAATTTGGGTGTTTGGAGCACAGAGGTTCATCTCTATGCGATGCTCCTTGGTGCAAGGTTGAAAGCCACGATAAAGGACAAACTGCCATGTTAGTGTATGGTGTGTGTGTGTGTGTTGAAAGGGTGGGCATGCAGTCTTCCCCGTTCTGAAGGGCCAGAATGGGTCATACCCATATTTATTGTTGTTGTTAGTCACAAAGTTGTGTCCGACCCATTGCGACCCCATGGACGCCACTCTTCCAGGCCTTCCTGTCCCCCACCATCCCCCGGAGTCCACTTAAGCTCACACCCACTGCTTCAATGACTCCATCCAGCCACCGCATCCTCTGCCCTCCCCTTCTTCTTTTGCCATCTATTGTTCCCAGCCTTAGGCTCTTCTCCAGGGAGTCCTTCCTTCTCAGTAGGTGGCCAAAGTATTTGAGTTTCATCTTCAGGATCTGGCCTTCTAAAGAGCAGTCAGGGTTGATCTCCTCTAGGACTGACTGGTTTGATCGCCTTGCGGTCCAAGGGACTCGCAGGAGTCTCCTCCAGCACCACAACTCAAAGGCCTCAATCCTTCGGTGCTCAGCCTTCCTTATGGTCCAGCTTTCACAGCCATACATTGCAACTGGGAAAACCATAGCCTTGACTATACGCACTTTTGTCGGCAGGGTGATGCCTCTGCTTTTTAGGATGCTGTCTAGATTTGCCGTAGATTTCCTCCCTAGGAGCAAGCATCTTTTAATTTCTTGGCTGCAGTCCCCATCTGCGGTGATCTTGGAGCCCAGGAAAATAAAATCTGTCACTGCCTCCATTTCTTCCCCATCTGTTTGCCAGGAAGTGAGAGGACCGGATGCCATGATCTTAGTTTTCTTAATGTTGAGTTTCAAGCCAACTTTTGCACTCTCCTCCTTCACCCACATCAAGAGGCTCTTTAGTTCCTCTTCACTTTCTGCCATGAGGGGGGTATCATCTGCATATCTGAGGTTGTTGATATTGGAATCCTAATTCCAACCGATGATTCATCCCTACCTTTCTCATGATGTGCTCTGCATATAAGTTAAATAGGCAGGGCGATAGGCCTATATTAAAAAAGTGAAGGGGCAAGAAAGAAAGTGTCTTAGGCTAACCTTCCCAACCTGGGGACCTCCCAGCCAGCATTGCTTGTGCTGTGGGTGATCTTTGCTAGCAAGTCCCGCTGTGGATCCCCATGGTGTGTGGAGATGAGCCCAGCTTAGTCGGGTGGCCACATGGCCTGCTCGACAGAAGGCAGTCCTCTGTACAGTGGGCTGTCCAATCCAAGTCCCATGTAAGGATCAAGGACTGCCAGAAGGAAGAGCAAAAGGCCCCAGGAGTTGCCTGCCAGGTTTTCACGCCTGGGCAGGATTTTGAGGAGCAAAGACAAAACTCACCTGCCGTCTTGTGCTTACATTAGCAGGGCAGCTCTAAATTTCCATTTATGCATGTGAATCAGCATGTACAAAATTTATGTAAGCCAGCACCCTTTCCTGTTCTCGCTTCTGGTGGTGCAGCTGCAGACTCCCAGTAATGCAGGTGGCCTGCCTTTTAACTGGGAACCCAGGGTCTGGATCGCAGAAGATCTGCACCAGGAGAGGCTGGTGATGCCCATGCCAGATGTTTGGGCTACACTTCCCACGCTGGCTGGGGTGGATGGGAATGGAAGCCCAAAGCATCTGGAAGGCACCCAGCTGTGAAAGGGGGTGTAAATGAGGAAGAATTCTGAAGTAATTTGATTGGGATGATTCATTTCACAGGGGATGTGGCTGAGTAGGGAGTCCATCAAGCTCATCAGCCTTTGCCATTTGCATAGGCTGTTGAGAGTTTTGCATATGCATGAGAATGAATGTTGCGACTTGAATGTTGTGCAGGGCCTGTCTGGAGTAGCCAGTGTTGCATCAAGAGCAGAAGCTGGAAAATATGGGACCGTCCCTAGTAAAGATGGAAAACACAGACACTCTAAACTTGGGTCTGTCATCTCGCCTGGACTGGCTGGGCTGATAGCCGAAAAGATACGGAGGGCAGCAGGCAGGGAAGGATGTGTTAGATTTTGCCCTGGTTAGAAGCTAATGCTGCAAACTTAGGCGACCACTCCCAGGTACATGTACATAAGACTGCAGTCTATGCCTGCATTTATGCACCACTTACTTGGGAGTAAATCCCTCTGAACTCACTTGGTTTAATTCTGAGTAGGCTGTAACACCCTGGCAATTCAGATGAAGTTATGGAAAAGGGCCATGTGCGGACACTTCATATGTGTCTACTTTGTCCTTGGTCATGGGAATTATTATTCCTACTACTACTAACATTTTATACTGCCCATAGCCGAAGCTCTCTGGGCAGATTACAGCAATAATCATAGAATCATAGACTCAAGTCACCCATCCCAATTCTGACCAGGCTTGACTCTGCTTAGCTTCCAAGATTAGGCAGGATCAGGCACTTCAGGCTACAAGGAATTATCCTCCAGCTGTACTTGTACATAGTAGAACTCAAACTTTTGCACGCTTGGCCTTGAAGTGCCAAAATAGCAGCATCAAAGCTCATGGCAATGGCCCAAATGGGGTCCTAATCCATCCCTTTGGAACCTCTTGTCGGGCTAGCCCTCCTTCCCAGGCCCCACCAGTCTCCCAATGGTGGGGTCATTTCCTGTTTTTTGCATGTTTTCGTCCCATTCTAACAGAATTTAAAAACGACATTTTTGGCATAATGCATCAGCTTCGGTCACAAATGCTTCCATCTCCACTTTTAGACTGCCAGAACTGATCGTAAACGTGCTCCTGTGCAACTGACTCGGGTGTTTTGTGCTGAAAAGTTTTGCATTTGTGATATGTTTGTTTGCATTTTTTAAAAATCCGCTGGCTGCATGATTACTAGTCCTTCTTGTGGTCTGAAATGGCATGTCTCTCACATGCTGCCTTTCCCACACAATGGTTTATTCAAATGCCTGAAATGGACTTCCTAACTCTTTAGTGTTAAAGAAAGCAGTGAAAGTGTTAAACTGCAGACCAGTCCTACGGATATTGGTATTTTTGGCTGCACCTGATTACTACTGGCTGGACCCATCCCTGGGAAGGAGAACTTTCCCAAAAAAGGGTTCAGCTGAAAGAAGTGGCTAACTGTAGTACTTTTGGCTAAAAGTATTTCTCAGACTTCCACCTAACCCTTTGCTCCAGGAGGTGAACCTTGCCTCCTTTTTCCCTCACTGCAACTGGAGATGGGTAGGCTAGGCTTATCATGGGAAGGACAAGCTCCCTCTCCTCCACTGGGCTTTGTAGTCCAGCCAGGATTCATGCCCAGGCACTCCTAAGCCAGGCCTAACATGATATCCTCTATGCAACACCGGCTCACATAAACAGTTCAATTCTTTGTCCGTCGGATGGTAAAATTCCAGCTAGGCTCGCTACGTCTTCCAGAGGGTCAAGAGGAAAGTGCAGGGGGAATTTGCGTGTGCAAAACCTTGTGGGGTGGATTGCTTTGGTGGCATCACTGGGCACCATGGGGGATAAATAAAACATACGCCTCGTGGACATTTGCTGTCTGGCCAGGATGCGGCTCCCCATGGCCGATGTGAGTCTCTGGAACAAGCAGGAAGCTACTCTCGATCTGCTTGGCTTCGGCTTTCCCTTCCTTTATTGCAGCTCAGTGGAGGGGAAGCTGGGGCTGATGGCTTTGGCATACAGCTCCCAGCTTTCCTGACCATGGGCTATGCTGGCTGGGGCTGACGGGAGATGAACCTGAGGGCCGCATTCCTTTGTGGGTAACCTTCCCGGGGCTGCAGGGGAGCAGGCCAGAAATCAAGGTCCGTGGGGGAGGGCCAATGTGAAGGGGAGGCCAGATGCCCACTGGGCAGAGGGGGTGCTGACTGGAGCCCCCCACAGGTGGCCTTCTTTTGCGCTGTTGCAGCCCACCTGCTCGCTTTCTATGCAGCAAGAAAGAAGGCAAGGAGCAAGGGTGACTGGGACCCATGGTGGTGAGGAGGGAGGGGCACTGAGGGAGGGGCCCATGGGGGGGAAGCTGGAGCTGGCACCAAGGAGAGAGTGGGGGGAAGCTGCACAAAAGCGGAGCAACCGTCACATTTGTGGCTGAGGGAATGTGGTTGGCCCAGGACAATGGAGGGGGACACCCCTCTGGGGGAGCCTGGATTACAGCCCCTTGCAGGCAGGCCAGATGTGGCTCCTGTCTGTGCTGGGTGGGGATGATGGGAGCTGAAGTTCAAAGCAGCAGCAGAGCATCAAAGCAGGAAAAGCATGGATCCTGGCCTGCCAGCTGAGAAACAGCGAAATTGTAATGCCAGGGATTAAACCAGGGAGCTTGGAAGGCGGTGGCTTCTCCATGGTCTTTCCCATGCATCATTTGTTGCCCAAGATCTTGATATTAAGACTATCAGGAACTGAATATGGAGTTTTGTGCCCGGAAACATGTGCTCTCTCACGGAATCCTTTCCCAGGGATGCCTCCTTTCTTTCCACCAGTTGTGGAAGCAAGGGGTACTGCTGGGTCCAAAGCTACGCTTCAAATCTTAGCTAGCTGAAGTTCAAAGCTGGGCTTGATAGCTGGGTTAAAAGATAAGCTTCAGATGGCAGAAGCACCTCCAGCTGTGACCACAGCGGTTCTTAATCATTCGCAAAATCTTCCTCACAACATCCTGTTCTGAAGCGTTAGCCACAGCCTGGGAAGGAACGGACTCTCGTTCACTTCTAGATACACAAAGGAGTCAATACTTGGCTGTGCCCGTAATCCGCCTCTTCTCGGCTTTGTAAACAGGTTCTGGTCATCTGGGGCAGGTGGGGACTAGGGCTGCACTTCATGAATGCTGAGATGGAGACAGGACTACTCCTTGGCCTTTTGATGTGTGCAGCTGCTCTGGTCCAGGTCTCAGGTATGGATGTCTTTTGGGGGGGGGGGGGGGGGGGGGGGGGCAGGGCCTCCTCTTTTCCTAGCCGGGGGTTGGCGGCCTACTGGAAGGCTCTGCGATGGGTTGCATCACCAGACACTCTTTGCTTGCTTTTTGTGGGGATGCAACACGACAGCAAGGAGCGCGCCCATCGCTGCTGCAAAGAAATTCTGATTCAGGGAAAGTGGAGGAGGAATAATCTGCAGCTGAAGCGTCAAACACAGTAGAACTAGAGATAAACAGGGAAGCAGAAGCGCCTCAAGAGCAATCCCAAAAGTGGGAGAAGGGAATAGTCAGTGACTAATTCCAGGGGAAGGAGCCTACCGAGAAGGAAAGATCAAGGAAGGAGCACAAGATGTTCTCCACTGTTTGCTCTGAAGCAACACCCTTCCAGCCTGAAATCAACTTCCCTTAAAGTACCAATGAACTAGAACGGTATTTACGCTTGCTTCTTTTGTTCACAACTTCCAGAATGACTCATTCTGCAGTTCCATCTTACCGGTAAAAGAAAGTCTGTCACACAGTTAAATTAGAACAGCCACTGTGTTACCTTTCCAATCATGCCCGCTTCAGAAATGTGGTTTGCCAGCTCTTGCCTCGAAGCAGACACCTCGAAGTTCTGCGTTAGAGCTCACACTTTGCAGCTTGGTGTTCTGCAGACTGATGTTGTTGTTCTCAGGCGTCATCTCCAACTTGTGGCGGCCCCGTGGATGAGTGCCCCCCACAACGTCCTGTTCTGTTCCACTCTTGTACACGCAAGGCTGCGGCCCCCTGGATGGAGCGATCGCCTCGTGTTCGGCCTTCCTGTGCTGCCTCTGCCTTTGACGTTCCCTTGCAGGGTTGGCTTCTCCGTGGAGTCTGGCCTGCTCATGACGTGCGGAAAGTATCACAGCTTGTCATTTTCACTTCCAGGGAAGGTCGGCTTGATTTGAGCTAGGACCTGCTTGTTCATCTTTCTGTCAGTCCAGGGCAGGGGCCCTCAAACTTTTTAAACGGGGGGCCAGTTCACTGTCCCTCAGACTGTTGGAGGGCCGGACTATAGTTCGAAAAAAATATGAACTAATTCCTATGCACACTGCACATTAAGAAATATTAAAATTAAAATAAATCTAAAAATCAATTGAAATTAAAATAAATTTAAAAATCAATTAAAATTGAAATCAATTAAAATTTAATTAAGATTAAAATCAATTTTAAAAATTCATTAAAACATGTTTGCTCCGCTCGCTCGGGCTGCAGCAGAAGGCCAAGATGACGCCGCGGCGCCCGCCGAACGGGAGAGCACGGCCCGTGGGGGAGCCGTGGGGGGCGCTCCCTCAGTCGGGCCTCCCCGGCCCCTCGCCGCCGCCCCCGTCCGAGCCGGAGGAAGGAAGGGCCCCGTGGGCAGGCGCTGGCCCGGCGCCGGGGGGAGGCCGAGCGGGGGAGCAGCATGGCGGCCGCTTGACGGAGGCGGCGTGCCCCGAGGAGCCCGCGGCCCCCTCCCCGCAGCCTGCCCGCCCCCGGGCTCGGCGAGGGGACGCGGCTCACACAGTTGAACAGCGACGTTAAGAGTCACGTTTGCCTTGCCTCTTTAGAGGCCTCGTCTCGCTCCCCCCGCCCTCCTCTCCTCTGCCTCCCGCTCCCGATTCCCACTCTGCACCCAGAGCCAGCGCATGCGTGCAAGGGGGGGGGTGCATGCGCGGTTGAAGGGAGCTGCTCCAGTCGGCTCGTGCGCCGGCTCTCTGCTCGGTTTTGGAGGAAGCCTGCGCCGGCTCAGAGCTTTCGGACTCGCTCGGAGATCGTTTTCTCCAAACGAGTCCAAAAGCACTGAGGCGGGCCGGGTGCATGACCGTGGCGGGCCGTATCCGGCCCACGGGCCGTGGTTTGGGGACCCATGGTCCAGGGTATCCACAAAGCTCTCCTCCAGCACCATGTTTCAAACTCATCGGTACTTTTCCTGTCAGTGTCCTCTTGCATGGTCAGGAATACAAGAATGTGGATAAACCTGGCCCTGGTGTCCAGTGAAAACTGCTCACGTTTGATGCTCTTTTCTGGTACCTTCACCACCGCCCTTCCTAGTCTCAGTCTTCTTCCGATTTCTTCTCTGTAGTCTTTGTTTGAATGGATGACTGTGCTGAGGAATGCAAACCTTTCGCCATGTTAATGTCCTCATCATTGACAGGAAAGTTCTGTAGTTCTTCTGTGATCAGGGCTTTGCTCTTCTTAACGTTCACAGAGGCAGCGCTTCGGTGCCACCAGGAGTCTTCCTTGCTCTCTCTTCCAGTAATACGGTTTCGTCTGCGAACCTTAAATTATTGTCACGTCTTCCAGCAATTTTCATTCTTTCCTCTGATCTTAACTCAGCTTTCCTTATTGTATGTTCTGCATATGGACTATACAGATAGGGAGTTAAAATGCAGCCTATTTCAGTAGTAATTATTTACTTATTTTATTATATTGCGAACATTTGTATTCCGTCCTTCTGTGCAAACGCTCAGGATGGCTTACATAGTATAAAATAGTATAATGATATAAAATACAATAATAAATCCAGAATTATTAAAAGCATATAAAACTAAACATTATAAACTAAAAGGGAAGGGAAAAATAGAAAATAGAAAATTTGACTGCGAGAACAAAAAAGAAAAAGAAATTAATTAACATTTTTATTTATTTATTTATATTGTGATTTATATCCTGCCTTTTTCCTACAAAGGGCTCAAGGCAGCTTACATCATCTCTCCTCCTCCATCTTATCCCCACAACAACAACCCTGTGAGGTAGGTTGGGCCGAGAGTCTGTGACTGGCCCAAAGGCACCCAGTTGGCTCTATGGCTGAGCGGGGACTAGAACCCAGATCCTCTGGGTCCCAGTCCCATGCTTTTAACCACTACACCAGAAAAAAGGGCTAGAGAATGGCCATTTGGTTCTTCCACACCACAGTTCTGTGGGGCGGGGGTGTGCTTAACTCTGCCCCCTCCCACGCTGCCCCCCTGCCCCCACAGTGCTTCCTCCATGGCAAGGAGGCAGTATTCTCTGATTCTTTTGTCTCATGGGTGGGAAGGCTCTTGGGTTGCCCAGTTAAGGGGGAACTTCCTTCTGAAGTGGCTGCAGTCAGATGTGACGTCCTTCGCCCGACCAAATGGTACTACAGTTGGACAGAAAATGGGCCGATGCGTCGAACCGTGTGGCCGTTCGATGTGAGTGAATCATGGAGCTGGGAGGGGCGTTTGGGGGCAGCTCCTGCTCAATCCAGTTTAAGGCATCCTGGCAGACTGCTAGTCTCCGCTCAAATATGGCCAGAAATCAGGAGTCCGCCACCTCACACACGAGGTAGTTTTATCCTCTCATAGCTCTGGCCATTAAGAACTTTTGCCTGATGTTCAGTGTGGAATGCAGGACCCACTCCTTCACTCTGTGGTGGACTTTATTGCATTTTGATTTAGGCTATAACGCAAACTTCTCAATTTGCACCGATAAATGAGTACACGCAATTTTGCATCTTTGTGCATGTCGTGTGTGGCTGCCCTAAATACCGATGCTTTCAGTTCTCAAGGCTTCCTTCAGTCCCTTGGGGGAAGACAAACATGGCCTTTCTGCCTTGCACTTTGGGAATAATGGTGACCCGAGTAAACATGTGAGGAGTTTGGAAGTCGCTTTCTCCTGCTGATGCCCCTTTTTGCTCACTGTGTCCTTAAGGATCAGAGCCTAGCCAGGAAGCGGACGAGGACTTCATTGAGCAAGCCGTGAGTGCCTTTGAGAGCCGCCTGAAGGACTGCAATTCCAGCAGAGAAGAGCTGATGCAGTGAGTCCCTGTTGCAGATTCCTGGCTCTGGGAGCTACCTGTACGAGACACAAGGAAGGGGCTGCTAGGAGAAGGGCCTTTTTGGCTGTGGCACCCCGTTTGTGGAACCAGCTTCCCAGACAGGAGCGTCTGGTGCCTCCTCTCCTTTCAGTGCCTTGCTAAAACCTTGTAATTTTCTCAGTATTTTAAGTGTTGAAATTGTATATCATATTTTGTGGCACTGTGGATTAATCGTGTTATTTATAATTTATGCATTTAATATTCTCATTGCTTTCATATTCTGTTCTTTACTGTTGTTGATCATATACTTCATTTTTATTGATCACAATGGTAAATTCTTCTTGGTTTTATCTTATTATGATGCTGGGTTTTGTTTTCTAGTTTAAAAATGTGCAAACCATCCAGAAAGACAGCAGGCTATAGGCATGGTATAGAAATGTTTTAAATGAACAAACAAATAAGTGATTTTTTTCTTTCATGTCTGTCCTGTCCCATAGCTGAAGCTCTCTGAATAGTCAAAAAAATGCAATTAGTCTAACAAAGAACCAGGTTTAAAAGAGAGAGAGCTCACATCTTTGAGCTCTTTAATGCACCTTATCAGGAATATAAAAACTGAGAAAGAATTACCACAGGCTTGTGGAATCTGTGGTTGTAAAAGTCATTTTCAAAAGCAGGAACCAAGTGCTGTTGTGTCCGCTGGTGAGTCAAACGCCCCTTCACAAGTTGGTGGAGCATTCAGACAGCCAGAAAGTTACTTTGGGGCCATATTAATGCTTCCACTATTTGCGGAGATAGAGCAAGCTGGTTCCCATTAGTGGCACTTTGGTGAAATGTGGCTTCACTGTGGGTTGCTACTTTTGGAGGAAAAATACAGGGTGGCATCTGTTGAAGATCTCCCCAGGGTCATGGGTGGTAAAATCTGGGCCTTCTAGCACTGGTCAGAACATAGGGGGTTGCCACGGCGTGTGTCCATCTGCAGGTGTGCGGACATTTACATTCCCCGCGTCCTCTTGGCAATTCTCCTCCGCAGGAACCAGCGACGTTTGGAGGAGACCTTACAGGAAGCCGCGGTCCAGAGCAAGCGCTCCACCTTTGTACACGACCACATTCAGGTCTTAATATTCCAGGTCAATCCTCAGGATTTTCCAGGGTTGCGGGTCAGCAGTGACAACTTAATGGTCAGTATTTTCCCTCTCCACATGAATATGCAGGCGTACAAAGCTGGATTAGGGATGCAGAGGGACATATTCTGAAATCTGAAATCTGTCCTTCTGCTTGTTCCCAAAGGTGGCCGGAGGGAGGGCTGGCTGGCTTTTCCTGTTCCCCCTTGGAACGGGCTTTCAACAGCTTTGATTCGGGTTTTTCGCTTTTTTAAGAAGGGCGCAGTGGGTGAATGTATCTTTTGATGGCAATCCTGTGCCCATTTTGGTCTTGTTGTTGTTCACTTGCAAAGTCGTGCCCGACCCTTCATGACCCCATGGACAACTTTCTCCCAGGCTCTCTTGTCCTCCACCATCCCCCGGAATCCACCCCATCCTCCTCCTCTTCTTCATCCTCCTCTTCAAGTACGAGTTACTTAGTTGACGATTCCGCAGTGTGATGGGTTTCCCACTGTTTCTTTAGAACCCAGCTTCCTAACCTGGGTCTTTTCAGATGTTTTGGCCCATAGCTTGTGTCAGTTGGACCCAAGCTGCTTGGCCCGTGGTTTCCTTGTTAATGCAAGACATGTGCTTTCCTGCTGAGGGGGAGCTTCTTCCTTCTGCAGATTGCAAAGAATTCAGGGGCATATTCTGGGATGTGTTTTCAGTTCACAGCAGGTGGAGGCCAAGCCTGTAAGGGAGCAATCAGCATTTCCACCCAGCTGCCCCGGTGCTCAGGCAAGATGGGTGGAGACGGACTAGGTCACATTCAGGCTTCCCGGTTTCCGTGAGGAAGCCCTGAAACACTTCCCAGAAATAAAAGGCTAAAACCTTTTTATTTACCCATTATTTTAAAAGCTGATTGGGTTTTTAATGTAGGATTTTATTACTGGATACTATGCTTCTATTGCGTCCATTTTTATCTTGTTTTTATTGTAAGACTGGCCCGAGACAGTGGTAGTCGGGTGGTATACAAAAACCTTAAATAAATAAATAAGCCCAGAGTTTCACCAGAAAACAAACCACGCTGGCGCTACAGAGGTGACCCACCTGGACCCAAGCAGAATAAGTTGGTAAATGGGAATATACACAGAGATTATCAGGGTTGCTGCTGTCGGTCCAAGATTGTGCTGACTGAACCCCATCTTTGCATTGTGGAACTTCATCTTCCTTGACTGTACCAGCCGGTTAAATTTCTTTTGGAGATTGTAAGATCCGGACATCCTCCAAAGCGTACGTCTCTGCTTTTTCTGAACATCAGCAGTTCAACTCTTCAGTGAAGATCCGAACTCGGCATTCCATGTATTTCCCCACTGCGCTTACTGATGTTGCCAGAGACAAGCATGTGACAGGGATGCAGCTCACCTGCATTTACCTCAAAGCTCCCTGCCTCTTCCAGGTAGGCATTCCTTGGAACCTGAAGGTCGGCTCTTGGGGTAATGGCAATCGTCCTTTTCGTGTTTCTGTATGGTTTTTCTCAAGCTGCTGAGTATAGTTTACAAAACAAATAAGAGGATGACATCAATAATTAAACAAAACATAATAGAATGCTTAAAATAGTAATGATTGAGAAAGGAAAGTTCTCTGCGGTGGCGCCCAACTTATGGAACACGCTCCCCAGAGAGGTCCGCCTGGCGCCGTCGTTATTTGCTTTTCGGCGCCAGGCGAAAACCTTTTTATTTAAGCGGTATTTTAACTGTTAGTATTAACTGATTTTATCTGGCCAGGGCGGCTTATTTTATATTGTATTTTTTGGATTTTTAATGTTTATATTAATTTATTGTTGTAAGCCGCCCCGAGGCTTCGGCGAATGGGGCGGCATAAAAATGTTTTAATAAATAAATAAAATAAATAAATATGACCCCTTTCCTGGATGCAGAAAGAGTGGAGGGCAGATGTACCTACAGGGAAGTGCACCCCAGAGTCGAGGAATGAAACTAGGTTTGTAGAATCGTAGAATTGTAGAGCTGGAAGGGGACAGGGGCCATTGGGTCAACTCCCTGCTCAGGCCAGGACGCTCACTTGAGCCATCCCAGGGGAGCTTGGGGTTTCGGTCCCCCCTCAGCCGTGAAGCTCACTGGGTGACTTTGACCCAGGCACTGGCTCTCAGCCTAACCTACCTCACAGGGCTGTTGTTGAAAGGATACAATGGAACTATGTAAGTTGCCTTGCAGGTTCCCTACAGGAGGAAAGACCGGCTAAATGCAAAGTGATAATAATAGCAACAAATTAATGTCTTTGTGAGTGAAGCATGCAATGGCTTCTTCAGTCACAAGGTGGCGGACTTCTCTAATTGCCCCAAAGCTCTGAGGTCAGTACAATTTGAAGTGGAGGGAAGTAGTTGGTTGGGCAGAGGTGTCCTGCCGCCCCCCTTCCTGCTGCGGGTCAGCCCCCCTCGGGGATGCAGTGGGCAGAGCCCTCCCTCAGGGGAGAACATTGTACAAAATTAAATTTACAATCTGGGTTGGAGGTCCTTCTTCGGGAACCCTCTTTGAAGGAGATCAGAAGAGTGGCTACCGGAACGGCCTTCTCTGTGGTGGCTCCGATTATGGAACAGGCTCCCCAGAGAGGTGTGCCTAGTCCTGATGCTTTTTCATTTCGGTGCCAGGCCAAAACCTTTCTATTTTCCCATTATTTTAGATGTTAGTAGTGTTTTATGATCAGATTTTATTCATTTATTGTAATTTTCCAGTGCTGTATCCTGTTTATTTATTGTATCACTTCCCTGAAACATTGTGAAGGGCAGAATATGAAAGCCTCAAATTGAATGAATGAATGAATGAATGAATGAATGTAGTTTGGAGGACCACATATGGTGCCCAGGGGGCCACAGAGGAAAGGCGGGCTATAAATGCAGTGATTAAAAGATCATCTGCAGATTGCAGACCACGTGACTCTGTGCTTTGCTGTGCAGGATGGCAAGAACAGTTCCCTCCTGAATGATGACGTTTTGGGGGCCACGCTTGGGAACACTCACGTTGCCAACCTCAGTCAACCCGTGGAGATCCAGTTCTGGCACAACCACTCGCTGGTGAGTGGTGCAGCTGCCACAGGCTTCGCCCAGGACAGCCGTGCTGGGAAGAAGGAAGCAATGAACGGGTGGCAGAAGCCAGAGACCCGCAGAGCCACAGGCTCCAGGATCACAGATCGTGGAACAGGAGGGTTGGGAGGGGCCCGATTGCCACTGAGTCCAGGCCCCTGCTCAGCGGGACTCCCGGTTCCACCACCCCCAGATGGCTGCGCAGTGGCTTCTTGAAGGCCTCAGTGTGGGAGAGCCGCCACCTCCCCAGGCCATGGGTTCCACTGCCGTCCTGCTCCAACAGCCAGGAAGTCCTTCCGGAGGTCCGGCTGGAACCCGGCTTCCTGCAGCTTGAGCCCTTTATTCCATGTCTTGCCCTCTGGGATGATCGGGAAGAGACCCACCCTTCCTCTGTGCCACAGTCTTTTAAGTCTCAACAGTGTATCCTGCAAAACAGCAGATATTTTGTTCCGCTGCATAAGCCCTGCATTTTCCTGACCATTGGTCCTGTTTCCGCCGCTGGGAAAATCTGGAATTTTGGAAGAAGGTTGCCTGTGGGGCAATGTCAGGCCCGTGGCGATGGGAGTCACAAAGCATCTACTGGGCGGAAGGCAAGCTGGTGAGGCTGAATGGGAGGAAAGTTAGTCACGGAAGGGCAGTGCAGGGTCTGTCCTGAGTTCCAAGACATGCTGGGAAACAACTGCTTTAACCCATAATTTTTGGCTCCAGCATGAAAACTGGTGAGGCTCAGAACCAAGGCTGAGTGAGAAGTAGGTCCCAAGCCAAGTCACATTTTTGGTCCGTAAAGCACATCATTTCACTGAAGCAAGCTAATGATGTTCCAAGAGACAGACGTCTCCCAGGGACCAGCTGGGCCCCCCAAGAAACTGAGGCAAAATGGCGCAGCACACAGAGAGATGCCAAAGCGCCCATTAAAAGAAAAAAGATGATTATTTTCTCAGAAAGTCCCAACGACATTCTTGGGGAAAAACGGGGTCACTGGGACAGCACTTGGCTTTCCTTATCAGCGTTTCCCCAGTTACATTTCACAGAAGCAGGAACACCGGGCTGAAAGAAATCAGGAGAGTCCCAGAGCTGAGCAGGCATCAGCCGAAGCTCCCGAGAGGAAGAAGCTGGGATCCCAAAATCCACTGCAGGCTGATGGCTTCAGCAAAGCATTCACGCCCGATCTCAGCTAGACGTGGTGCTGACTCCAAACCCCAGCTAGGTTGACATGGGCTTGAAATGGACATTTCGGCTGTCACCTTCAGCTACAGATCTGACACCTGCCTATATTTTACCAGCACTGAGGGCATCTCCCTAAATCTTCTGGTATTTAAGATCAGAGGGGGAAGCTTTGGGGTTTCCATGCTGCTGTTCTACCCCATCAATGCAACAGTTGGGTATCTCACGTCTTCTTCTTGGGTTCTGCGTTCCCAAGAGGGCCTGCTAAAGAGGGGGAGCGTTTCTTCTGTAAAGAGTGAGACCCCAAATGGTGATGGTTGGGGGAAATCATTTCTCTGTGGAGCATCCTTCCACTGGAAGGCACTATTCAAGCAATGCGGAAAGATTTCTGCCACAGCGGGAAGTTACATCAACTCACCTCTTGCCTTTCCTACACCCCATTCTAGGCCAGTCTCAACATGACCTGCGTCTTTTGGCTGGAAGGAACAGGTAATGACCCGTCCCTCCGCTTTCCGTCCTGCCCCTTTCTCCCTTTGCTCCCGGCTTTTCTGCTTCCCCCAACCACCTTCTCCCCTTCGCTTGGCATTATGGTGAAGCCAAGAGTTTGCTGGCTATTTTGTGGCATTCAAGTTGCTCCTAAATTCCCTTAAATCTTAATCGACGTACTGAGAGTTTGGAATACCTTTGGTGCCGAGTCCATTCCACTGTGTTTGCTGGCAATGCCTTAAAACATTTATGCAACTCCTCAGAGCAACAACAAAGCGGCTGGTATTCTGGAGAACGGTTTGTGCATGAAGTACCCCCAGCAAGCTATTATTTGCACTATCGAGTCGTAATAAAAAGACCTTTTTTTCCAACCATCATTTTAACAATCAAGCGTTTTAGATGTTTTAAGATTTTTTTGGTCTTCCTTTTTTCCTTCCTTAAAGCCTCATTTTCTATTCTATTCTTTTCCTTCCTTTTCGTTTTAGTTTCTGACGTTCTGTTTTATATTATTTTAATAATTGTGGTTTTATTATTGCATTTTTCTAATTTTATATTATATAAGCTGTCCTGAGCACTTGTCGGAAGGACAGGATACAAATGTTTGTAATAATAAATAAATAGATAAATAAATAAATATTATCCACTTGATGGATGCATTTCATGTGCAAACCGTTCTCTGGACTACAGGGAGTTTCTCTGGGTTATTGTTATTATGAGGAGGAGGATGGGAGTCTAGTGATGGGCCAGTGATGGCTCAGCCTGGTCTACCTTACAGGGCTGTGAGCATAAAAGGGCAAGGAGAAGGACAGTCGCCTCAGCTGCCTTGTGTCCTTTGCAAGGAAAAGGGTGGCATATAAATGGAATAATAACTAGCCCGGGTGGCGTAGTGGTGAAGAGCTGGGACTGGGACTCAGGCGATCCGGGTTCGAGTCCCCGCTCGGCCATGGAGCCCACTGGGTGGCTTTGGGCCAGTCACAGACTCTCAGCCCAACCTACCTCACAGGGTTGTTGTTGTGGGGATAAGGTGGAGGAGGAGAATGAGGTAAGCTGCCTGGAGCCCTTTTTAGGGAAAAGGCAGGATATAAACCGATAAATAAATAGACAGACAGATAAGTAAATACTTGAGGATGCAATCTCAAAACCAGCTGAAAAAGTATGCAGTGACTAGGAAGGAATGGAAAATTTAAAATTCTAAGCAATGGGAATTATACAGCTGATAATCCTGGAGACAGGTTATTCTCGGGAAGGCCCCACAGAACCACATGCATGTAAGCAATGAGCAAAAATGGCATTTAAAATTTATCAAGAAGCACTGGGATTAAAGCCTTTCACAAGTGCTATTTATTATTATCATTATCATTTCATTTATACACCTACCAATAGCCACTGTTTTCCGGGCAGTTAACAATAGCTGAGAAAAAAACGAACCAAGTCCAACCGAACTGACGGTGAGTTCCGATTTAAAACATATTTTCTGAGCATGTGCAGTGTTGCATTTTAAGCTCACTTAAAATGGAGATGCATCATGATCCAAGGAGTAAGATGGGAGTGCCTGGATCGCGTCATCCCCGCTGCCCCTTCGGTGGCCGCGCCACCGGCTTTTCCTCTCTTGTCCCGAGGAAGGTGCCGCTGTGTTCTGAGTGCAGCTCTGTGTCTCCTCTTTGGCAGAAAAGGGCGACTGGGGGAGCTGGCGCTCGGATGGCTGCCGAACGAACACCAGCCGGGAGGGCATCGTCCTTTGCCAGTGCAACCACCTCACCTACTTTGCCGTCCTCCTGGTGAGCCCGCGCTGCCCCTCGCAGCTCTCTCGGGTCGCGTCCCCTGAGTCGGGGCTTTGCCATCTCCCGCCCCTGAGCCTTCCCCCACGGGGAGGAAAAGGTGCCCTGCATATGGAAAGCTAGCATCTCGGGGACAAAGAATCAGACAGGTTTACCCCCTGAGGAAATCCGGAGGACTGGACTGTGATCCCACGTGACCAGCTCTGAAGCTGAGGGTGAACTTCTGCACCTTTTCATTAGTTTGACTCAAACAGAGCAAACTTACTTTTGGAAACGGAAAGCACCCCTCTCCCACAGCGCCCCTTCGCTCAGCTTGCCAAGTGTGGGCGGAAGCTGCGTTTGCAAGCGGAGTGGCCAAATTCATATGCCAGTGCAGGCTTCCAAGTCAGGGTTTATGTGGGAGTAGAAAAGAGGCAGAGAGACCTTTCCATCCCACCTTATTTCTTTCCTCCTTTCTCTTCCCATTGTCTTCCCTCTCTTTCTGTCCAGCAATTCTCGCCAGCCCCTGTGGATGCCTCTTTGTTGCCCCCTCTGATGTATATCACGGACATCGGCTGCGGTATTTCGGCTTCTGCTTGCTTGCTCACCATCCTCTTCTACACTTTCTCCAGGTAACCTCAGTGCACCTTAAGTCAGTACCTGGGGACGCGCTTCATTATGTTGTGGCCTGCAACTCCCAGGAAACCAGTGGTGAGGGACCATGGGACTTGCAGGCCAAGGCGCCCGGAGGGCCACAAACTGCCCACCCCTGCAGTGGGGATGCCGCAGCGTGCGACCGAAGCTGATTCGCGCTCCTTGAAATGCCTGCAAGTGCCACCAAGAGTATCCCGGAGGACCTGCGGGGCAGGATGGGAGTCCTTTGTGCCTGCTTTTGAGCCAAACCAGCGCGACTTCCCAATTTACGTTCCGCTCCTCCTCCTCGACAGGGAAAGCCAGCCTTCCTCTACCACAAAAATCCACATGCATCTGGTGGGGGCCCTCTTCTTTCTCAACCTGTCATTCCTGCTCAGCAAATTCCTGGCACGCGTGTCTCCGCCATGGCTGTGCGCAGGTGCTGCGATTTTCCTGCACTATTCCCTGCTCGCCTGCTTGACCTGGATGGCTCTTGAGGGGTTCCATCTCTACGTTCTCATGATCAAGGTCTACAACTCGTACATAAGGCGTTACCTGCTTAAACTGTGCTCTTTTGGATGGGGTAAGTGTTGCTATTTGGACAACTGCAGAGAAGGTTCGTGGCAAAATCGGTGCTCTACTTCACACCTGCATCCCTCTGCTATATACGAGGGTTCTTCAAAAAGTTTCTGCACTTTTTAAAACTCTACTTATTAAGAATTTCAAAAACAAATTACGTCACTGGTCTACATAGTCATCTTCCTTTAAGGTACATTTTCCGCAGCGTCATACCAACATTTTAATGCCAACAGCAAAAAATATATAAGATATATTTATAAAATGTAAAAGTGCAGAAACTTTTCGAAGACCCCTTGCAGAAGTATCACTTCCAAATCTTGTAAAATGACCATCAAAGCAAATTATCATCAAAGCAAAGGATTAAAGCATTCAATGCAGCACAATTTTTAAGGGCAATGTGCGAGTCATCAGGCAAGATTAAGCAAAGGTCAAAGCAGGGATAACCATGTTGGATAAAAAGAATGGAGAAAACAGCGAGGTCTTGCTTGCACTGGAATGACATCCAAGTAGCCACCAGGTGAGTCTCCAAGGAGAGAATGTTTCATTTCCGTTGCCTGAGTAACCGCTGCAGCATCTTTGGGGATGGAGGCATCCAAAAAGAGCCTCAGCTGATGATTCCAGCGAGAGCCGGGCTTTTGTGGGGTCAAGCAGTCCGTTGGGTCCCTGGTCCCAAACGGCGAAGGTCAGAATCGGCGCTTCCGTCTTGCACGTAGGCATGAGCTGGGGCCAGTGTGAGGCGCTAGGGCAATACCGGTCTTGGGCAGAGGGACCAGGGAGAACTTTGCCTGGGACTTTGGAGAGTTGGTTGGCCACTGTGCAAGCGGGACGCCTGCAGTCCGGCTCAGCGGGACTGCTCTTTCTGCCAGGTGGAGCAGAGTGCCTGCCAAAGGAGGCATATGGGCTTGTGGGCAAAAGAAATCGGCTTTTAACGGGGCCGCGGCTTGAAGGTGGAGCAAGTTCTGTGTAGGAGGGAGGTCCCAAATTGAATCCCGAGGGTCTCCAGTGAAAAGGGTTTCAGTGGCTGGGAAAGGCTGTTCTGGAGAGACTGTGCTTGCAGTGCAACCTGGTTAAGACAAGGACGAGTTGCAAAACAGCGGAGGGAGGGAACGGGGCAGTTGGCTTCCTCACTTTCTCCGCTTTTTAAAGCACACAGTGTGGCTTACAGAAAAATCAAAGCAAAGCTAAGTAAGGTAAAGCACCGCCTTAAAAAGCACAACAGATAACTGAAAAGTAATTTATTTAAAGCGCTTTGAAGTGGCAGCAGTGAATGCAGTGAAGCGGAATCCAGCCAAGGCGCCTCCGGCCGGTGCTCCTTGGAGGGATGCATCTTGCCACTTGTGACCTGTTGAGTGAGCAGTGGGGGGATCGATTCTGGCAGCCCAAGACTTCGCTGCCATTTTCTTGCCTTCTCTGGCCCGGGGCAGAGATAAGGCACCCATGGAAAGGAAGCGTTGCTTTTGTCTTGTGCAAACGGCTGAAGTCTCCACATGGAATCGCTTACAGCCCTGTGTTTTGCCGTGGTTCCACAGGGTTGCCAGGCCTAGCAGTGATGGCTTTCTCTTTGATCAAGAGCAGTATTTATGGCCCCTACTGCGTCAACACCAGCTCTGCTGACCATGAACGTGCCATGTGAGTGCTGGAAAAGAAAAGGCTGGGCTAGCATCGTTCAGACTGGCCCGTGCGCTGTGACGTAGGGAATGCCTTCATGAGCTTGTCTGGAGCTCAGGAGCTGCCTGGATGTGCGGTGCATATAAATCCTGCAAACAAACAAGCAGGCAAATAAAACACATTACTGTCTGCTTCTGTTGGGGTGCAGAACCCGTGTGGTTAGTCCGGCCCGCAGAAGCGCCTAATATGGGCCATGGAGGGTTGTGCTTCTTTGGCAGGCTCCGCCTTCTCAGGTCTGCCCTGCCCCTTCAAAGCCCCTCCCCACTTCTCCTGTGGGGGTTTGTGCCTTTCTCCCAGCCTCGTGCTAAAAGGCAGAAAGGTCTCTTCCAAGGCTTCGTGGCTGGCAGGAAGAACTTGAACGTGAAACACACGGGCATTTTGGCCCCTCCTCCTTTGCCTGTAGCCCCGCCCACTTCTGGAGGGCAGCCTCCGAGAGCTCCCCCAGAGTTGAGTGGGGCCCTTTGGCTAAAGACAATAAAAATGAGAATATTAGACGCACCTCGCTTGCTCCACTTCTCCTGCAGATGCTGGATCGTGTCTTCCACCGTGCGCTACATCAACCTGGCTTACTTCAGTGCCGCCATACTCTTCAACATGGCTGTCCTGTGCGTGGTGGTCCGGAGGGTGAGGCTGCTGAAAACCAGCCTGCCCCATCGGCAGAAGGCGTTTTCCTGCAAGGACCTAGTGACGGTCCTCGGGTTGACATGCCTCCTGGGCGCCACCTGGACCTTGGCTTTCATCTCCTTTGGGAAACTGACGATCGTACAGATATACCTCTTCACTATCTTCAACTCACTGCAAGGTCTGTGCACCCCGAGAGTCAATGACTCTCTCTTTCTCAGTGCGTTCCAATTTCAGCTATGAGACGTATGGAGACTAAACGGATAAATACACTTGTGGATTGTTCTATCCGGGCGATGTTAGAGCCAGGCTTAGAGGGTGACCAAAAATACACACACTTGGTGCCTGGCAGTAAAAATAGGAACCTGCAACTCGTGGGCAGTTTGGCCCCACCTCGTTTGCCCGCCCGGCTCTGGAGGGCAGAGGTAACAGATTTGTAGATGCTAATTTAACGTCTAATGGCTGCAATGGACCCTGCCTCTCGAAAACACTCCCGTTTGGAAAGAGGGATGCAAGGACTGGGGAGAGAAGTGCATTTGATTTTTAGAAGAAAACCTTGGGGAGAAACATGCAAGGGGAGGAAGGACCCATGTGGGCAAAAAAGTGGTGGGGGATCAAATTTTCAGGGCCCTGGAATGCATGTTTAGGAAGTGTGCACGGGCAGCCGTGTGATGGGGCAGAGATCTGGCGCTCCAGGCAAAAGATTCGGGGATCCAGCCCTCGTGGGCCGTCCCTGAACCGCTTTCGGTGCACTTAAGGCTGCCTTCTTTGCTCACAGGTTTTTTCATATTCGTCTGGTATTGCTATCTGAGGTGTCATTCACAAGGGGACTCTTTACGGGGGACCTCCTCTCGTTTGTCCCAGTGAACTCTCAACATCACGGCTTCAGTGGACACGCGACTCCACAGTGCGAGGCCGCTGGGCCAGTGGCTGCTGCCGGCTCCTTCCGGGCTGCACCGAGATGCAAAGGAACCTGGATGGCCCTGCAGGGCACGACGGACGGGGCCCAGTGGGGCCCCATCGCAACGCCCTGGCCCCGCTTGCTTTGCAGGGCTGCGCTCAGCTCGAGATCAAGTCCATGGAAACTGGAAGGATGCGTCCAGAGAGGACGTCTCCCAACCCAACTGCAGGTACCTGGTGCGGAAGTGGACTTCCCCAGGGGCCGAATACCGGCAGGAGCGCCCTCATCGCCGTGCAAAGCACTTGGGGATGGCTTGGTCTCGAACAGGCTGCTAAGCCTGATGAAAGACGGCTAGGGATGAACGCGGCCAGCGTCGCCTTCCTGCTCCAGATCCACGCAGCCGCCTGCGCTGTCAGATTCTCCTGGGACCTGCCCCCTGGATACCCGCAGTTCAAAATTCACTGCTGCCCCTCTGCCTCCAGGGACCCTTTCTCATGAAGCCATTTCACCATTTATCATGCTTTCTCGTGTGCAAAATTGTGCTTTGATCATGCCCGGCTACCTGAAAATACTTCAGGTATCAGCGCCGTAGCAAAGGAGCCCTCCTTTTCTCAGCTTGTTACAGAAACACACGGTTCACGGTTAAGCATCTCATTTGATGAACTGGGTGGCACAGAATTCCTATAAAATGAATCACAGAAGTCCTATTGAAGGAAATAGAAATTTCACGCCTGCACAATAAAGGAAGCAAACACCAGGTATAATTTCTCCAAGGCAGGACAGCTTTACCTGTGAGTAGGGAGACTGTCTTTCCCCAACATCAGAAGCGACCCCTACCAAGCAGAACCGTCCTTCCATTTTGCTTCCAAGCATGCATGGACCCTAGATTTGCTTGTGATGTGTGTTTGGACTTTTGTCCCCACCACTGCACCCTTTTCCGAGCAGTGTATAAATCCCACTGACGTGATTGTTTGCCCTTTACTCTGGCAGTGGCTTCCCTCACAACCTCCTCAGTTCCACCTGTTCTGCTTTTGCACCTCAGCCTCTACCCACAAGACTGACACGACTCTATGTCCATCTCTTGAAAAGTACTCCTCCTTTGTAAATTCACAAGTCTCTTTGTGTTTGCACAGCAAACTAATAGACAGCTTTTCATAGAATCCTATAATCCTAAATAGTAGAGTTGGAAGGGGCCAGGAAGGCCGTCAGGTCCACCCCCTGCTGGTGCAGGACACCAAGCCGCACCCTCCCACTCAGAGGGCTGCCCAGTTTCTCCTTGGATGCCTCCATTGTGGGAGAGCCCCCAGCTCTCCAGGCAGCTGGTCCCACAGTTGTGTTGCTCTGACAGCGAGGAAGCTTTTCCCGAAGTCCAGCCTGGATTTGGGTTGCCGCGGCTTGACTCGATTCTTCCGTGCCCCGCACTCCAGCATCAGTGAGAAGAGACCTTGACCTTCCTCTTTGAGGGAGTCATGGACACCATGTCCCCCCTCAGCCTTCTCTTCTCGAGGCCGAACGTGCCCGGTTCCCTCAGAAGGCCCTTGAAAAGAGAGCTTCAGTGGCCCCCTCCATCGCACAGCGGTTGCATATTTTCCTGCCTTTTTGTTTGGCCTAATAAAAACATTTCTTCGGCTCGCGTTTCGCCCAGCCATTGTCCCGGTGAAAGTGCCCTCCCCGGTGGTGAAATGCAGGGCATCCTTTCCAGCCATTTTCTGGGCCAGTAATGCCGGTACCAAAGACAAAGGGCGAGCGGGCTGGGGTGGGGCGACCTGGAAATGGCCTCTGCCTCCTTAAATACGAAGCCCTCAAATACGGAGACCTGGGTGGGAGGAAGCTGCAATGGCCACTAGGTGGCAGTGCAGCATCGCAAGTGTGTTCCTTGCTGAGCTCTTCCGCGACTTCTTTTCTAGAACTTTTCCTGGAAAGTATTGAGCAAGGCCAGCTCATAACGTCTTTATTAGGTTTCAAAAAAGTTTCCTCAAAAGTGGGGAATGTGCCATCCGGTGTGAGCGCTCAGCTGAGCTGACTTGCAGCATCAGGACCGGCTATAGATTTTGAGGATGCTGCGGACTAGGAAGGCAGATGGGTTGGAGCGTCTGCGCCCTGGGCGTTTCCAGAGCCAGCGGGTGTGCTTCCCCAGACCGCTCGCCCGGAGACGCAACAAGCTCTCCTGGCACTGCATGCCTTCCAAAGCCGGCCTCTTCACGTGCGAGCCAGAGGTGGGCAGCCTCTTGCTGCCGGAGGGCCAAATTTAATTTTGCACATGCTGCAAGGGGACCCCATCCAGGGTCACGTGGTCAGGAAGGCAAGCAGTCTGGGGCTGAAAAATACCACTGTGCGTTACCTTAACAGTCTTCCTTCAAACTGATCCTCAGAATGGGGAAAAAGTCCGATAACCCAGTAGGCACCAAACGATACGTGGTCAGGAAGAAGGGAGAGTGGCCCATAACTTTGTAGACGCTTCTGCATTGCAAACCAGAAAACAGGGACTTTACAGGACTTTGTGAACAATGCTGAGAGATGTGGGCTGAACACTCAGGGCTGAGGACCACCTTCTTTTCTGCCTGAATCTGCAATTTCACTGGCCTTATAAAGTTTGACTGAATGCCAGGCTGTCCCAGGTTTAGAAACATAGAAACAGAGCGAGTCAGAAGGGGCCTCCCGGGCCATCTAGTCTGACCCCCGGCTCCAGCCGGCTCCGCTCACGATATGCCCACCATGTGCATGTCCAGCCTATCTTTGAACACCCTCACCAGTGGGGCCTCAGCCACCTCCCATGGAAGCCCATTTCACACCCTCGGGGTCCTGACTGTCAGGAAGGACTTCCTGGCATCCAAATTGAACCTTGGCTCCCTGAGCTTTGCTCCATTGGAGAGCGTCCTGCCTTCCTCTGCAGGGGAGAACAGGTCTCTACCCATCTCCATGTGACACCCCCTCACATATCTGTATATTGCCAACAGATCCCCTCTGAGTCTCCTCTTCTCCAGGCTGAAGAGACCCAGTTCCCTCAGTCTCGCCTCATACGGCATCCCCTGCAAACCGGCCACCAACCTTGTGACCCTGCGCTGCACTGACTCCAACCTGCCTATACCCTTCCTGTAATGTGGGAAAGTAGCCTGTAAGCATAATCCAAATGGGATGCCCATAGCCCTCTGAGCCCAGAAGATTAGAGGCAACCTACAGAGAGAAGAAGAAGTGTGGGGGTAAAGCCATCCCTGTTCCTTTGTACCTGTTACACCCCAGGTCTTTTTCTATATTGCAGTTTTCTCCTGAAGTTTACATCAGTGTGTGCTAAACTTCTGGCACTGTTCTGAGGCTTGGAAGAGTGGATTCAATGGGGTGTGGGTGGAGAGGGGGAACCCACAGGCATCTTGCCATTGCTTTCCTGTCCCCCCGACCTGCAAACACCCCCCCCATTCCTCTGAAAAAATAAAGTTTGTGGTGTTTTCTCAAGCCTTCCACAACGTCTCTGTGGTCCTCTTGCTAAAAAAAAGATGAGTGGAAATGAATGTCTACCCAGAAGTCAGTCAATGGCTTTACTCACATTTAAATCACACTGACTTCAATGGAGAAAGTCCAGGAGGGCTTTTCTTGCTTGCTTTTGGGTGGAAGAAATGGGGGTGCTGGCTGCACTGGCTTTACCCCAGGGGGGCTGAGGGGACAGAAGCAAGCAGCAGTCCACCTCCTTCATGATCCCCCCTTTAAAAAAAAAACAACCCCTTTTTCACACCCTCATGTAACTAATGGAGCTAAAAAGCAAACACCAACATGAAGGGAACCGGTGAAGTCGTTCCACACTCCCCGCCTCCTTTCCAGGCCCCGAGAGCTCAAGTTGTGCCCTGTGACCCAGTCTCTGCCCTGACTTGCTGGGTTGAAGCTTCCTTACCCTCTCGTCCCTCTGCTTTCACCTGGTGGCCCCTCAAAAGCCAGGTTTATTCCTGGTTTTGTAGCTACCCTGGAGATAAGCAGCAGCAGCAAAGCGAGCCAGTCCTGGGATTCAGGGAGGCAGGTGTTGCTCTCCTGGGAGCAGTACCCAGGTTCAGACGACGAAAGCAGGCGGGCTTTTCCGGAGCTGCTGCTCAGCTGGCCTGCGGGCCCACCGCTTTCAGAACTGGGGGTGGGGGAACAGAGACAAGGTCCATGTCATTTTTAAGACTATTATTAATTTTCTCTTAGGGTGGCATGCAGATATGCAAGTGGGAAAACAGCGCAATAGTAATCCATCAAATAGCCCCTGCCGGATGCCCAGAGGAAGGCGAAAAACCTCCAGGACCTCCGGCCAATCTGCCCTGGAGGAAAATTCCTTCCCGACCCCAAAAGTGGCGGTCAGTGCTACCCTGGGCATGTCCGCAAGGGCCAGTCCCACCTCACCCCCGCCCCGCAGCCACTGCTGCTTGCTCATTGCCAGTAGGACCAGTAAGACCAGAAGAGCCCAGCCAGCCTTCACCGAGTGACTGGCAGGGGAGCGCATGCCTCTTTCTCTCCGACACCGGCAGCAGCGCCCTGCCCAGCGAACGAGGCCGGGGCAGGCTCCTGGTTCTTGGCCGGGGCGCGGCTCCTTCGTTCATCCTCCTCAAGAGAGCGGAGCGAGCTTGCTGCTTCCCGCCAGCGTGTTGTCAGCGGCGACTGGTTGCAGCAACACCCCAAGCGTCTTCGCTCTGCCCTCCTCACCGTGCAGAGCTGCTGCGAAACTGCGCACCGCTTTGCTCTCACCTGCAAGTCACGCTTCCTGGCGCGAAGGCTGGCCCCATGAGGAGGCGGTTTGAGCACGGCAGCGCCGCTCCTACCAACCTGAGGGGACCTCTCCTGCAGACCTCGGGACCCGGCGACTCAAGCGTGTGGTGCAGGGAGTCGGCTTAGCGCCATGGACATGGCAAACCTTCACTGACATTGCAAACTTTAGAAATTTGGACACTGGCCGCCCCGCCAGTCTTTCTAGAAGAGGTACCCTGGACATTCCTGCATTGTATCCTTGGGGAACTAGGCTCGGCTTTAAGTAGAGAATATTCCTAGGCCAGAGCCAGCACCATTGAATTGTCAGGCGGGGGATTTCTCCAGCACTGCCGGCTTCTAGTGGTCCGCAGGGTGGTCACCAGGAAAATTCTGTGGGGCCTGTAAGAGAGGAGAGGCTAGCGATGCTTTCTGTGTCTTTCATTAGAACTGGCTCGACACTGAGCTCGTTCAACAGGAAGAACTTACCTTTTGATCTGTGGCGCTCCCGCAATCCGGGGAAGCACCTTCTTCCCTTTTTCTCTCTCCCCCGCAAAAGAGTTTAGTCACTGACTTGTCTGGAAGAATACTAAGGTGGCCAGTTTTCAAATCCTGCTTCTGTTGATGGATGTTGCTTTTTTCTGGCTAGCTGTTCTCTCTGAAAGCTTTTCTGCTGTCAATCAGTTGTTAATCCGCTGTATCTCTTTCAGTTTGTTGTGGAGTTAAGACCCGAGTGTGATCTCATTTCCTTAATGGCTTTCCCGCTACATGAACTCTAGGGGGCAAATGTGCTACAGCAGAATAGGACACATGCCCAAATGGAAAAAAATATTTTGTTTGCCTTTACAATTAAATGCAGCATTAAAAAAAAAAACCACTTTGAAAATACTAATTAAGACATAGAAGTGAAAATGGAAGGCCACATCACCTGAAGAACTCGTCACTGATTGTGCGCAGGTGTGATGAACGTACAATACATGCCCCGTGTAAAGAAGCCCCGTTGCTTTTCTCGTCCATCGGCAACATTAGTTTCGGAACGACCATGGACTTTATTCTTGCAGACCGAACAGGGCACTGCAAGCAAAGCAAGTTAAACACGGAAAATTGCAGGCTATCTTCTTTGGTCTTAGATGTGCTGGCAGACCTGAAATGTTTCATACTCTTATAGCTTTTCCTCCAAAAACTTACCTAGCAACGTGTCCTTTGATGTTCATGGTTAGGGTCTCCTAGGCCCCCGCTGGCTTGCCGGACCGCTTATCCCCACGCACCTGCAAGAAGCTGAAACCCTACAATCCATCCATCACCAAGACGTTATTTAATGTTTGCCGTTCTGGGAGAGAGCGAGAGCAAGAGCAAGCGAGTCGCGTTTCAAATGCTTTCTAGGAGCTGGAAAATAGTTGCTTCCCTTGTGTGAGTCCCACGCTGCAGGGCTCTGATAGTCCACACTTGCTCTGATATTGGATCGGGATTCCTCTTGCTAATGTTGTCGTTGTTCGTCGCGAAGTCGTGT